ATTCACCACTCGCCTTATATTGTCAAGCACTACAGCATTCAAAGTCGGTGACTGATTACATTTCCGCAAGCTTTCTTTCATTGTGGCCCAAACCATTTCAATTGGATTGAACATACAATAGTATGGAGGCAAACGTAAGAGAATATGACCACGTGTTTCACACATCGAATCAATAATATACTCTTTTTTGAAATTACGTTGTTTTATGGTCGCCAGTAATACCTTTTTCGTTGGAATCTTGTCGAATATTTCCATGTCATGATTTCGCATGAAATCAACAATATCTGCTTTTTTGTGTTATTGTTTGGTATTGTAGTCAATAACCGAGAATGATACGAAGCGTTATCCATAACAATAATCGAGTTTAGAGGAATATTTGGGAGAAGCTGCTCACTGAACCAGGTTTCGAATAAAGCCGCAGTCATATCTTCGTGGTAATCAGCAGACGAGTCTTTCATATTTTTGGACGACAGAAGCAAAGCGTTAGGTACGAAACCACTTTCATTCTCGGCATGCAAAATTATAACACGTGTTCCCCTTGATGGTGTGTTCAAAGCATAATACTTGGTTTCGTCTACCCAGCCATATTTGACATCATGGGTGTCAAACCAAGTTTCGTCGACGTAGATTAAATGTTTGCTGGATTCTCGGTAGCTTTTCAATCGCCTCAAATATTCTTGTCGGAGTTGAACAATGCGTGTCGATTCCATTATGACCATCCGATTGTTCAAACTATTATATAAAAATGGATGTTTGTTGGTTGGTAAGTGATAAACTTCTACATCGCTCAACTGATCGTGATGAATCTTGACATGTATCAGTAATTTTTCATAAAGAAGGTTTTTAGGCTATCAAATTTTCTGTAACCCGCCACTAGATGGCGCTGTAGAACTATTTTTTGAAAGCACTGTTCTATAACGCTGCCCACGCAAGTTCGTTGATTCTGATTCTGTCAAAACATTGGAACAGCAACGATACAGCAACATAGTACTAGTTTATTATATTTGAAACCACAAGACAATAAGACATCTCGTAGAGTTCCTAAAGATTTGTAATTGTAATCGAGATAGTCGAGTAATTTATACCAAATCATTTCCAAAGTTGGTACTTCATTTTTTTTTGTATATACCATAAATTGTTCGCCTAATCACATCTTTTGTAACACCATCAACGTTTGCGAATGTTTTATTCCTTTGTTTTCGTTTCATTGCATGGTCAATGACATCCCCTATTTTAATGACTCGAAGAACTGTCGAACGAGATAGTTTCGTTAACTCGCATATTCTATTCACAATAGCATTCTGTGAAGTGTGACAGTTTTCCTTCTTCAAGCATTCATGAATATTAAAAATTACTCGCTGAACTTGAACATGTAACTCCTTATTTTCAAATTCCGGATCCCTGTCGATTAACACAGATTCCTCACACGTAATGTTATCATTTGTTTCAAAAGGTTTCAAAAACACCAAGATTTGGTTTAAACGATGAGATTGGTGTAAAAGTTGAAAACTTTTTCTATAGATCAATTACCCTAACACCAAACTGACATTTTTGCACTCGACGCGCGTTTCGCTAACAAGGTTAGCATCTTCAGGAGAAGCAAATTGATACTGAATCTAAAGACAAGGGTTAGCTGTTTATATACCTAAAGTTTTTTGGTTCGATGTGGACTTTGTTAAATAATGATTATCCTAATTGATTTTTCGGTAATTAACAAGTGGAACCACTACCTGCAACCTACATAGTAGG